ACACAGACTACAAAATATGTTGTTACATACTGTGTATGACAATCAATAGTAATCAGTTTCAGTAAGCCTGAAGCTCTTCTAAGCAGATATATTTATTTGTACACCAACATTTGAAGTTTAGTGAAAAACACACATCATTCATTTCAGCTGTTCATGGAGGCTTTCAGCAGAAGACTTATTAAGCCATACCAAAATGTCCCAATCCTAGCTGAAAATGTTATGCTTAAAGTCTTCATATCTAAAGTATGTTGATGACATCGGTGATGTTTCTGTACTTGAATTACTGGTAATTTTTATTTCCATTACAGATGGTCTACTTTGCATAATTGTTGGTGTCCCTGTTACAAACCAGACCAAATCAATTGCATCTTGGTCACCTGTGAACAAAATAATTTGATACTCTGAGTGATAAGTGCAATAGCTTGAAGTAGACACCTACTCATGAATTCAAATACTCAGAATTAATCTAGTATTTAATACATTGTATTTTCGGGCAATATAAGAATATTGACTTAAAAAAATTGGGGGTCGCCAGCTTAATTTTCAAGAAAATGGTGGTTATATTTCAGTGGATAGTGGCCATTTTGGCAATATTATATTACTTTTACTATAGGTTCCCATGGCAGAGATATTATGTCATATCTCAAACTGTAGACTGAACAAATAATACATTGTTAATGATGAGGTATTTTTATTTTTCTTGAAAAAATCTGGGTTTTATAAAATGTCAACAAATGCAAACATTATTCTCTATGGAACTGTTCTAAAAATAGCGATTTTTGAAAAATATTAGGACAAGTTTCTCAAAATATGTCACTGTATCACACAAAAGAATGCTAGTTTATGGTGCCTCGTGCCCTTGGACAATAGTTTCATGAGTTTACAAAATAAAATATTGAACATTGTCATGTAATGTAAGATTGGCTGAATCACTGCCATCCACTAAGTTGCTATGTCATGTGAAGACATGTACGCACATTATGGACATGTACGCACATTATGGACATGTACGCACATTATGGACATTGACAATTGTCAGCTCTTGAGCCAATCAGTATTTAATATTTGAATGAAAGTTGATAATAGGTATTTAAAAAATTTTATAAATATGTTTATAAACTAAGATGAACTTTCTGCTTATCACTGTATATCACTACAGAGAGATAAATAAACTTTGCAATAGCATACTTTATATTTTTAACAGTACACCAACCGGCTACTACCAAATGTGAGTTGATAATATAATGAATATGTGATATCAGATGAAACGACAAAGAAATTATGGAATTTTGCTTACAAATGCTAATCAGACACCATATACATAGAATTTGAGATATGGCATAATGTCCATGAACCAATAGTAAAAGCTTTATAATACTAACATAATGCCAGCCATTCACTAAAATATAGTTTGTGACACACCCAACTTTTTAAAATCATTATCCTTGAATTGACAAGGAGTACAATTTATTTATTATATAATCTGGGTATTTTTGAGTAGACTTCTATCTTAATTAAGAAAAGCCAAAAATATGAACTGTAAATAAATAAATACAAAGCAGACAAGAACATAGGAGTTTGCTGCTAAGACACTCGCTCCACCTTCATTTAAGTGAATAACATCTCTACAGTACAAATTACGGGCATTTGATAACTTATGGTGGTAAAGAAATTCAACCTTGTCTTCATTATCACAATGTGACTCAATTTGTGAGTTTATCGTATGAATTCTCTCGTTGATGGATTGATCATTATTTCGTGGTAGAATAGATGAAATGATAAGACTTGCCTTTAGATGTGCCTGTTTAGCTTTTGTGATTAAGGACTTTATGTCTTTAACCACATCATCTACATCATTATTAACAACATCATTTCTACCTTCATGTATGATTACATAAGAAATATTGTCCGATTTTGTCTTGTCAATAACTCTGGATGCATCACTGACATAGGTTGCACGATGTTTGGTGACTTTCCTATCTGGGTGCAACCTTTCTGGTATGATCTTTCTAATTAGTGAATTACCAATTTGTACAACATCTGCTGATTCATTGTTTTGTGTAGACTGTTTATTTTT